GTTTCTACGCGTTTGGTTGTTAGATCTACGTATGAAGTACTATGTCTTTTCTTTGATATCCCTAATTATTTTTCTCAATGCGACCTTCTCGACCAATCGAGATCCTGCCTTTTCCCCAATTCACCCTAATCTCGTTCGTATCATACGTACGACGATCGGACGCAGTTGATGAAGCGAAACCTTCCACTCGTGTTTCAACGCGTCTGCTACTAGTGAGGCCCTTTTTTCTCCGTGTCGCCAATCACGTTTTCGTTCGTGTTTGTCGTAGAAATCTACGTAGATTTTCAAAGAGGGTGCACACGGCAATCGAAAAAGGGGTTCCGTGTCACTATAGAATCCAAGACTGAATCAACGTCGTGTTTTTCGTTTTTCCGGAAGTTTTTCTTCACGTCACAAAATATTATACAAATACAAAAACGGGGAAGGGCGAGAACCACCGAGCCGAGCATTTGAAGTATCGTGATTATATTGTTCCGCATACTGTAATCCTTTGACACCCACCCACCCATACAACAAAAGTCACACTGCAAGCACAACCAATACACACACACACACGCTCATACACACATACACACATAGCTAGCTACTAAATCACAATGGTAGCTCTTACAAAGAATCAAGCACGAGCGTTGTCGCCATCATTTTCCGTCAAGGAACTTGATCAGAATGTCCTCCACGCCGTGGCCGAACAACGACGACGACAACAACAACAACAAAATAAGGAGAATCTCAGTATCAGTATGACACCACCATTGTGGTTGGAAATGGAACCAGAATCATCCACAGCAGCAATCGCTGATAATCGTGACATGCCTGTTTCTTCTTCTTCTTCTCCTTCTTCTAGTAGTCAGGTCACTACTACCAGCAGTGCCACTGTCACTACAGAAGCAAGGCTGTCCAACAAGAACAGCAAGAACAACAAGAACAACAAACAGACCAGGTTGGTTACATTTTGCGAGGATGTTCAGGTTCGTCCCATTCCAGCATTGACCCAACAAGAGAAACATGACATGTTTTATGACAAGCAAGACAAAAAGAGCGCCAAGTTGGATGTCAAACGATTGGTAACCTACCATCGTTCTTCCGCTCACAACAATTATTTTTTCTCCATGGATCGTGAATATGCCACACGAACCCCCCAAGATTCCGAAATGATGATTCCTGTTGCAGTGGACGAACGTACCAAAATTGGATTGGAGGCCCACATTCATCCGCAATTCAAAATTAGCATTCGCAAACGCATGACCAAGTTGGTATTGCAACATCAACATTGGCACCAACAGCATCCCAACTTTTTTGACATTTCCTTTTTGAGTGAAAACTGTACGACTGTTGCCAAAACGGCAACCTTGATGGCACAGGAACGAGCCCAAAACATTGTCCAGGAGTTGAAACGAGAAACGGCACAAGAAGCACCCAGCATTCACAATATTACAGTGAACAACAACAAGAGCAACAACAACAACAAGAGGCATTTGAATGAATTGAAGAAGGTAGAACAAGACCAAGACTATTCCTTTTCGGTTCGCATTCTTTGCTCCTCCTCTGAGCGCATGCTATCCAACAATGCTAACAATGCCAATGCTAATGTCATGACCGCACCTGCTATCGAAGCGGTGGTTGCAACCACCAGTACGGCCGTCGTCACCAAAGAATCATCATCATCATCATCATCATCCACTCATGCTAGTATGGAGGCTCCTGGTCATTCTTGCATGGTGCGATAATCGAAAGGAACGAAAACGAACGCAAAATGTACGAACGCAAAATGTACAATAGATGCTGCTGCTACAATAACGACGAGGGAGAATACCCTCGTCTATAGACACAAGGGAAAAAGGATACAAAAAGACAGATATACCAACAAATAGAGAAAGAGTATATAGAAATAAAATGTTGTAAATTATTATGTCAAAAAACAAAAAAACTGTTCTCCTATTACTATTCCTAGGACTCCTCCTACACATTATTATTGTTATTGTTATTAGTATATTAGTATTATTGAAACATGCTCTCAAAGTTACCCGTCTGCCGGTGTTGTTGTTTCAATTTGCTCCTTCTTGGTGCCTCCTCATTGGAATATCCCTTGGGCATAGGTCCCAATTTGTTGTACTTTGCCGCCAATTCGCAAAGTTGTTGTTGAAAGGAAACATTGGTCAAGACCATGCCACGTTTTTGTTTCAAATCCTTGACTATATCCAACAAGAATCGTTCTGGTTGTTGTTGTTGTTGTTGTTGTTCTTGCTGCTGCTCTTTGTTGTTGTCGTCGTCGTTGTCGTCCAAAAGAAGCATTGCCGCCGCCACAATCAGACCTTACATGAATCAAAATAGTGAGCGCATACATGCGTGTACTGTTCTCATAATTATAACCATCAATCAATCAAATCATTATCCATAATATAGGTACATCACCATTCATGTATACAAACAGCAAAAAAGAAAACAATCATACGTACGTACCACTTCGATTGGTTCCCGCCCCACAATGAACCACAACCTTGCCACCACTATTCTTGGCCTCCAACAAGAATGGTTTGGCTTCGTCTTCCCAATGTCGGCCAATCAAATCATAATCGTTGGT